TCATTATTATACAAATATTTTCTAATTTTAATGCTCCAAAGTTGCATAAACAAAGCAAAAGAAAGTTAAATAAAGTCAGAGCCCTTGCATTTCCACATATATACCATAGCAGTAGTGTAAACATACTGCTGTGTATTCTCTGCATTTCCTCTCTGTGCGTCTGTGTGTGCCCGTGTATGTGTGTGTGTGTGTGTGCATCTATGTGCATATCCATAGGCATGCTTGCTATATATGCTCCCAGTTCATTGGCCTTGTGCTGCATTAGTCACATGTGAATTGCTCATTCTGTGCATCTTAGGTTTTCAAAATGGAAATCTATGGCTAATTATAGCGGTGTACTATAGGTGCAAATAGTGAGATTCCCATATATCCCCATGAATATATGATCTCCATCAGAAATTATTGTCACTTCTTTCCATATTAATTCCTCTGTTGGAATATGTGCCTTGGTCTAATAAATGCAACTCCAAAACTATCAGTTCTTTGCGTGCAATTTTAGGGTAGGTTTCCTTGAATATTCAGAGAAGTATCATTTTCAAAGAGATTAGGAATATTCTCATGAAAACAGAAATCAAATCTTAAGACAGTGTTGAAAACATAGTTAGGGTTCTAGCATCTCAAAACACCTATCTCCATTCCTGACGACCTGCCCCCATCACACATACCCCTAAACTAAACTTATTGCAGCTGAAGGATAAATATTCAGATTTAAGTCCGTATGTATTTAAAATTAACTAAAGTATGGATTAATCCTCTCCAATCGTAAAACTGGAGGTAGGCATGCAGACAGGGATAAGACAAAATTCAGTGCATCCATGCCCCCAGGCACAAGTACTCAACACTCTCTGAATGTGAAGTCATTTATGAAGTCCTTTACAACATGCAGTCAAAGAGGTTAATTGAAAAATTTCTTAATGTCATTATGAAAGAACTAGATTAACCCAAGTTAATTCACTTTATTGTTCAAAATAAAGAGGAATAAGCATTGAACTCACTTGCAAATTTGGGGCATGAATTAGGGGTGAGATGTTGTCTTTAAGGACTCTGCCAGTTTAATTAAGATATGGAAAATTGCTTATTGTTCTTCACCACTAAAGTGCTAGGAATTAACAGCCAAATGTGATGCCTGTGCCTTTCATATCTCTACCATGTGTTTGTTTGTTTAATACCCATAAGACTACATCATTAAACCTCAAGCACTGATTTCACTAATTCAGCACCAGAGCTACATGCTACAGCAGCAAACACCTTTTCTAGTCAGGCATAATTGAACAGCTGGATATAAAATACATTATTATTTTTAGGCTCCTATCGAACTTTGACTTGAAACCGAGTACTTTCTTCTTCCAAAGCAAAATGTCTCACTATCTGTAAAACTTCTCTCTCTCTCTCTCAATCTCTCTCTCTCTCTCTCTCTCTCTCACACACAACATAATCAAGCCAATATACTTTATCTAGTTTATCGAGAATTCAAAATAATAGATGTTAAGTCATCGCTGTACCCGTTTTCATCATAGACTGTTTTCTTTTTCCTCCAGGAAGTATTACTTAAAAGAGCAGCTGACCTTGTTGAAGCTCTATATGGCATGCCCCACAACAATCAGGTAGGTCCTGGTTGTCTTCCTCACATAGACATTTATTCATATCTATATTGGCAGATTCACATACTGCTCTAAATCATGTTGTGATTTGTTTGATTTTGGTTTAATATGTTACATGAACTTATTCATTATGGTTTATAAATCATGGTTTATGGTTTAGTATTTGAACCACTCACTGTGGTTTTTTTCAACAATGGTTAAAGCATACCATGCCTTAGCATGGTGCCTGAACCCAGCCATAGTATAGCAAGTATTTGCACCTTGAAATTCTAACAAAATACCACTGCATTCTTTCAGCGCACAGCAAAGTTGTATCAGTCACTTGGCAGTTTGATGTGAAACGAGCGCTCTTAAGAAAAAATTCGAATTCATCGATTCGTTTATTCTCAAAGGCAGTTTTTTCTATCTCAACTCTGAAGTTTTTGTATGTGTGTATGTATGTGTGTGTATGTATACATCACAGTTTTAGCAGAAACAGTTGTAACAAAAAACAACTTTGAAAGTTAGTCTAATGTATCTGGGACTAACGCAAAGCCCTTTTTGACCACCAGATAGATTCAGAATTTTGAGAACATATTATGGGTACTGAGAGCCAGTGTGGTGTAGTGGTTAAGGTGCTGGAAACCTTAGGAGGTGGGAGACCAGGTTCTAGTCTTTCCATAGGCACAGAAGCTGGCTAGGTGATTTTGGGCCAATCGCTCTCAGCTATAGAGTGGGACGTAGAAAAACATCTGCCAGCATCATAGATTATGGTTCAGAGCCATGCAGTGGCTACCATGGGAGTGATGGGTTTTGCTTATTTAAACAATAGCTGCCATAATGTCATGGCCAATTACAAAACAAAAACAAAACAAAAAACAAAAACGGTGGGGGGGGGAGAGCATGGAGGACATGAAGGTACATTGGTACCTGCAGACACCATCTAGCAGATCACAGCTTAAAAAGCTGCTACACCAGATAAAAACATGGGCCGTGTATTACAAAATATTGGAAAATAAGGTGTTGCATAATACAAAAAGAAGTGTTTTGTTTTGTTTTGTTTTGTTAAGTAATTGTTACTAGTAAAAATACTAGCAAGATATTTAAACTACTTATTTGCGCCCTGGATTCACTACTGGCAAGTTATACAAGTTTGACTGTACAATGTACAATACTTGTAAATGAAAAGGAATGTAATTTTACCAAGAATACAGTAATCCTGCCAGATATAACAATAGGTTAATATGCATCACCTATTAGGATTTGCTAAATCAAATATAGGGTAATTGAATTATATTATATGTTAGAAATTTATCCATTTACTCTTTCCTAGGAAATAATCCTGAAACGAGCAGCCGATATTGCAGAAGCATTATACAGTGTGCCCCGTAACCACAATCAGATTCCTACCCTTGCCAACACTCCAGCTCATACTGGTATGATGGGAGTAAATTCATTTAGCAGCCAGCTAGCAGTTAATGTTTCAGAAACATCACAGACTAACGACCAAGGTATGTGAAGTTTTAAGACTTTTGCAGTAAAGCTATGCCATTATCTTACCTTCTAGAAACTGTCATTTTAGTTATGCAATTAGCTCCCTGCTAATCGGGATTCTTTGAATTTTGTTTTGCTCTATCATGTTATGTTAATTGGAAAGAGTTAACTCGAACTTAATAGTAACTAAGCATTATAAAATTATTAATATGAAATTTGAAAATCAGTAGTCTTAGCTTTATAAAGACGCCTAGTGTGCATCTTCCTTTGTTTTTCTCACACTTCCAATTCATTTTTCACCACCACTCCCTTTCTGTCAAACCACACTCCATCCTTTAGGTTTAGTAAAAAATATTATTGTGGCGAAAATTATACAAATACAAAATTTCATAACGTTATAGAGATTGTCAGCAAATCTTACAACTGCAAATGCCAGTTTTTTTTGAGAGGAATAGATTTATATATTACAGTTAACATGAAATGCGATACTCATTTTCTACTAAAAGTGGCATATCTGACCAAGTATGTTTCAGTAAATTTATTTTGCTAATAGCAAAAAATAGTAGAATCATGACAATAAATAACTGTAAGCCACCCAGAGTTGCTTTTCTGTGAGATGGGCGGCTATACAAATTTGATCAATAAATAAATAAACAATAAATAAATAAACAATAAATAAATAAATAAATAAATAATTTTCATCTGGTTTCAGCATGATGCTTAAACCATAGGTTAGCATTGTCAGAATAAACTAGTCTCCCTTGAGCCCATCCAGAGTAGTTTTGAGAAAGAATTTGGACAATTTTATTTCCATATTTCAATGACAAGAGCTTTCTTTGTTTTCTAAGTCTAAAAATATTATTTTATCTTAATTTTGACACAAATAAATAAGCCAGTATAAAATGATCATTTGATACTGTGATTAATCTGAAAGAAACAGAAGTTTCTTTCTTGTGGCTATACTGGAAGGAATTACACAAATTTGGAGAAGATAGGAGAAGATATTCTTGTAACACTAAACCCTAGTTTAATGTTCCACATGGACATAGCCATTGACTGTGTACTAGAACAGCTATTTGTAGCCAAATCTTGTTGAAACAATTGATTGTGATTGATAATTGCAATCCTAAACACAGAAGGCAGAATAAATCCTACTGATTTACTTGCATATAACATGGGTTGGATTGCATATAAATTTCTGTGAAACAAGCACTGACATCTTTTAATGGGATTTTCAAATATATCCTTTTACAAAGTAACAAAGTGATTGTGACCTTCTTGAGTCATGTCCCTATCAAAAACCTATTCCCTACACTGAAGCATAGTTGTTTTTTGTATTTATTGAATATTTATTGAAGCATGGCAAATAGTACAAGCCCTTTCTTATTTCTAATAGGAAATTATCACCACTAAAAAGGAAGATTTTCTTTTAAACCAATTTTTGGGAGTTACATCTCTGCAGCAAATTATATGAACCATACCCTATAACTGTTTCTGCAAACTCTGGCGTTTGAAATCTTAAAAAGGGAGAGCTTAGATCTTGATAATGCAAACCAGAAATTACAACTTTTGATCATTACTGCTAAAGACAAATGTGAATGAAACAGACACAACCAGACTGAAAGAACCTTTGCCGGTCGTCTCTGCCAGAAGCAGGGGCAACTCAGAGTGATCACAGATGGTTTAAGTAGAGATGGTGTGAAAAGACCTTTCCTTGCAAAGGGGTAAGAGAGCAGGAGCAACCGACATAGACGCAATCAGTCAAAAGTGTGCAATCTGCGATGTGGTAGAAAACTCTTCATGCCCCATAATAATAATAATTTTCCTGGGGTGGGTTTTTCCTCCCAATACAGTAGGTTACAGTCGCAACACAAGCAGTGTTTCCCCGCGAGGATACGTTCCAAGCAGTACTCCTCAGCAGTCAAATTACAACACAGTCAGCAATAGTATGAATGGATATGGCAACGCCAGCATGCCCAACCTTGGTGTACCTGGTTCCCCTGGATTCCTTAATGGCTCGTCCGCTAACTCCCCTTACGGCAGTAAGTCTTTATTTCTAATGCACATCATTGCATCCTTCCTGTTCGTTAAGAACATACTTACTTTGTTTTAATTTCCTTCAGTGTAAGCTACTGGATAAAAGGAGGGGTGACTCTGGAGGCTGGACAGTTAAAAAAAAAAAAAACAGAAAAGATCATGGACAATACATTGGTACTTTCAAAAAATTAATAGCTAAAAGTGAAAAAGTAAGTACCAGATTGGACTGCTCAATCTACAATCAAAGTCCAACACAAAAGAGTTTGCCTGTTATCCAGAGCCTGGCAAGCCAAAGCATTTTATTTTTATATATGTATTATCCTTACCATAAGAGGCAAGGCCCTACTATACATCTTTTTTTTTTCTTCCCTTCCTGTTTGCCATAAACATCCTCAATATGAGTCCTGATTATTTTTGCTTTATTGCAGTAGTGCCGTCAAGCCCTACCATGGCAGCCTCTTCGGTCACCCTTCCTTCAAACTGTAGCAGTACACACGGCATTTTCTCATTCTCACCTGCCAATGTCATCTCTGCAGTGAAACAAAAGAGCGCCTTTGCTCCCGTTGTCAGGCCCCAAGCTTCTCCTCCACCATCTTGCACCAGTGCAAATGGAAATGGGCTTCAAGGTGAGCTGGATTTCTCTATTACTTTTCGTGTCATTTCAGGGTGTTTTGGTTTCCCTCCCCCCCATCCAAAAGATGACATTTTCAATTTTTAAAACAGCATTATTATCATGGGCAAATATCAAAAGACACAACTCCCAAACTTAAGAAACAATATACATCAGTTTTTTCAAAAAACATTGGCTTGTACTAGGCGAACAAAGCCTTGATCTTAAATGCAGCAGCAAAGCTGTAGTCTACGATTTTAGTTTACGCTGATTATTTGAAGCCTTACGTTAGAAGGAAGAATGGCTCTTTTCCCAACATTTCTTCTTAAGGTTTTACGCATTAATTTTTAAGCTAAAGTCAAAATATGGAATATTTCTCATAGACCAGGTTTGTTCCTTTAGGTCTGTATATATTTTATGCATGGGATTTTTTTGATAGTGATATTTTAATCGGCAGCACTTCCAAGATGGGACTTTTCCTACTTGGGTCATTATTCTGAAACATGAAAAATGTCAACAACTATTTGAAATGTTGTTCAGTGCTGCTGTTGTTCCCCTACAAATCTATTACTAGGTTTCTGCTTGCACTGGAGCTTATTCCACTTAAACTGCCAATAGAAATATCAGAATAGATAATTACAAAAAAGCTTGTAGGACATTAATGAGTGAATATGTTTAGAGGGAAGGAAAGCCACTACAAACATTCTTATTAGGTACATAGCTTTTTATTTAAAAATCTTTCTATCAAGATTCATTTATTTCAATAAGATTTATTGAAAAAATCTTTTCAAATGGAGGGCCAACATCTGTCTCAGCTGAATTGATCAGAAACTTATCTGCAATACACACCAAGACACAATGTAAGCGCTTAAGGCTATATAAATTGGTAGAATGCACTACAATATTGCAGCAGCCATTCCCTCTTAGTTAACAGAAGCATTCACATTTTAGACTCTTTATCATGCAAACTTTGTAGTATGCATTTTATAACCCAAACACATCCCTAAATACTTTAAAGCATATGTTACGTATATGTTATTAAAAATATAAGAATATTTAAGGTCAGTCTAATTTATGCCACTAAATATGCTATTTTATGACTTTTTTTTTAAAAAAAAGTGATTACTTTTTAATATCCACGAATAGAAATCTACAAAGTGTCCTGATTAACACACCACTGTGTTTGGTTCAAGAGTATGAACCAGAAATGGTCCCATTTGTTGCTCGGGACCCAAGCTACAGATTCTTAATCCAACGGGGTGCCCAAACCCTAAGCCATTTTTTAAAACTGAATTCTCTCCTTTTATCCCAAGCATGACTTTGGGATTGGGCTGGTTCTGCTTACCTGATCACTAAGAGCTTTTGGACTTAAAGGGCCACTTCCAGTCAATGAAATCCAATAGTGTCTTCATCATTCTTCTTCCATCACCCCAGACTAGTTTAATGAGAAAATATCTTTTCTACAAGCACCACCATGCTGTCCCCATCTCCAGTTACTGAGTGGGATAGAGGATTTGTGAAGGTTCAGATCTAGTTCAAGATGAACTAGACTGGCCCTATTCTGCTCCAGGCTCCAGAAAGATCAGTTCTGGATTTGACATTTGCCTGAATTTTGGTGAATACTCCTGTTGTTGGATGGCATATCCCAACAAACAAAAACCGAGCCAGGCAAGTCAAATTTCAGGAATAAAATATATAACCAAACCAACTGTCTCTGGTTGATAGATATTTGTTAGGCAATATCACTGCCTCAGAGCATCCATTATTTAGAGGGGGTACATCTTCTTTCTCAACATACATCTTCTTACATTTTTATTAATGCAATAATTTCATTTTAATTTCTTGTCCTTGGGAATAGTTGCTTTTAAAAAAACCAAAACACTTTTTACAACTCTAGCAAACTCTACTGTGTTTGTTAGTTGAATAATTTAGATTCTCTGAATAGAATAATGCTATCTGTTATATGTAATAAGCATTTGAGAAGTTACTTATTTGGCCTTTTTTACATTGAAGAACTAGTCCAACCACAGTTTAGTATTTAAGTTTCTGCAGAAATTAAAAACATTATTAAAGGATATAAAAACAAAAGTACTTAATAGCATTTAATATAATTAAATTAAATGTAGGCATTTTGATTTAAAGAAATGTATTTAAGAATTATTCAAGTACTTGTTATCTGAGAGTAGTAGTTGTTTCTAAATGAAAACAAATAGTAACCACGTGTCTCAACTGTAGATTGGCATTGAGATGTTCACTGCAGGCAAATCCTGAAGGAGATATTTGTTATGTAGCCTTGATTTTCTGATTTACAGTCAAGGGTTTCATGTAATCTTAAATGCAAATAGGTAAATCAGGGATCTTCCACCTTTACTTACTCTTTTCTTCTCCTTCTATTAGAGCTCTTTTTCTGTCAATTAGTAGAAATATATCAAGGCACTTCCTCTCATCTTCCTTTCGTGCTGCATAATGCGTCAGAAACCCTAAACCCCTCCTTTCTCCCATTCTTCTATGCAGGAGTCTCTGGAAATTTACCAGTGCCTCAGCCCTTTCTTCCTCCCTCCTGGCTGTAATTTTAAATCCCCAAACCAGTTTAGGAATCCTTTGTAGCCCGCATCTTCCTCTTCCAGCATCTACTACTGATCTCAGGAAATGGGAGAGGTAATTATGAATATGAATTGCTAAATATGCCAGCCTCTTCCCAATAAATATTTTTGTATGAGTGGGCTTTGTTTTTCTCATATCTAGCCTCAAAGCCTGAATCACATGGGTGCTGCTTTACATGCAAGGAGATATCCATATGGTTTTGTTTCCTGGAGTGAACCACACTGCAGAATAAAATGTGAAGTGGGTCTTGAACAAGAATTTTTAGATGGTATTTTTAAGAGAGCCAGGAGGAGGAACAGGTCCAAATGGTTCTAAGTGGAATTGAAGGCATAGAATTCTGAAAGGAAACAGATCTCAACAATGCTTTATCCCGATTGAGAAAGCATTGTTCACAATATCAAGAAAACAAATAATCTTTAGTGAACTAATCAGGTCAAAGATTTTGATAATAAAAAGGCTGATTCAAATATTCATAATGAGGTGATGGGCTTTTTACATGCAGACCTGTATCGCCTTGAAATTCTGGGGGAAGCATTCACTTAAAAGCAGGCCCTCATGAAAATCTCCAGCAACTCTTTTATCATAGAAAGAAGATTTGGCCTGCTTTCCTCCCCCTGATATGATATAGCTTGGCATAGAAGTAACTATAATGAATGGAATGGATATTTTTTCAGGGTAATCTTGAAATTATATAATTCCCATGTGTATACCACATCATCTATTTTTCTGGAGCTTGTTGTGTTACATTTTGGGCCTCTTATCATATGAATTCACTTCGTATCTATACCCCCTAGATATTGAACAAGGTATACATTTTAAAAATTAATAAAGTTATGCGAATGTTCATAGAGCTATTTTCAGCTATGGAAGCTCACTTGATGACTTTGGGCCAGTCACCCTGTCTTGGTCCATCCCAACCCTAAGGTCAAATGAAGCATTTTTATTATGGCCAAAGGCCAACCGTATTAGCTGGTTACAAAGAGAATAATGCTCATTATTGCTAATTAATATATACCTATTAAAAATTCTAACATATACTTTACTAACATACATTAAATGATGGCAGCTACTGTAACTGTTATTTCCTCTGTCATGTGGCAAACCATTACACATAATTTTGCCATGTTTGGATAAGATGTCCATATATGCACCAATAATTAGTCACTGCAAACCAGATTCTGGTTGCAGCCTTAACATTCCAGCCTCTAATCATAAAACTACACTTGGTGCACATCTCAGAAGCCACACAATTGCTCTGAGAAACCTAATTTGTACTGATTTAAGCACTGTGTAATTAAAGTATGATGTCATTGTGGACCATATAGAAACTGGGCCAGTGATTTTGACTGGAACAATTTGACAGCAGCCAGGACCAAGCTACCCTCAGCCGTTGAGTAGGGGAAAAAAATATCAAAAATGTGTTGAATTTCAAAAACATTAAAATGCCTGTCATAATCCTTTGTCCTGCTCACGCTACATGTGCTATTTGTGATTTCATACCTCCGGAAAAATGGGATACCACCACCTCAGATAACTGAAGCATTTAACTGGCTCTGTCTGTTGAACATTGAAAATTCAGTTGTGCAGCTTCAGTGTTTTGGCCATTATTTTGATCTTTTGGTACTTAATGAATAAATGATCTTCGCTACAATTATAGGCTAATGGCTTCAGTGCCAAATAAAGATGTTGAGAGTGGGACTGCATAATCAGTGTACAGTAATACCAGAATGTTTAACTCAGATAATCTAGGTGAGTGCTGCTACACTATATTTACGTTTTTGGCTAAGACCTTGATATAGAGATTGAAGTCACCAAAATACGGCCTTGTCTTACACTTCATTGTAAGTGCTTGTATTATGTACTGCATTAGAGAGTGCCCCATTCAGATTGCATCTAATTTTTACACAGCTATAGTTTTAATTTGTTGATAAATAAAAGCATAAAGAGAAGATTTCAACACTGATAAGTATTTATTGATTAGGTATTAAAACATGCTGGGGAATTTTCCTACCCTAAACTCTGCTTGTTGTTCACCTAAAATAAACTCACGTTTTGTCTAATCCAAAAGTCTGATTCTAAATTTCAGGCTTAGACTTGGCTTATGATACTCAACAAACCGATTGGTCTATAATTGCCAAGGTCATATCCAGCACCTTTAAAAAAAAAAAAAAAAAGGAATTATAATAGCCAACCCTCTGTCACAAAGCCGCAAAGCACCACCACAGTCTATCAATGTACTCCATGAATAGTTGTGAGAAAAATTGGAGGAAGACGTGTTGTGCACATTATTTTCAGTTCCTAGAGGAAAAGTAGAACATATATTTAAAAAACAATTGTTATTATATTGAAAACTGTGATAGAAGGGAGATGATGGGGTTTTTTTTAGTGTGATTAAGCAATAAGTGTGTAGCT